GAGGGAGTGTGCCAGGCAGGGGGTCGGGGCGGGATGGGGCTGACCCGCGAGGTATTTGCCAACATAGAATTAAATGTGAGGGGCGGTTTGCGTCCCAGCCTCTAGATGACCATCCGAGGGAGGGAGGCTGAAACCATTAGAACAAGGGAGAGGGTGACTGGCTCCTGGATGCGCGCAGAAAAAAAAATCTCTGGGGAGGGGAGAGATTTTTGGGGAATAATAACAAACCAAATCAAGCCACCACCCCACCGCCTTCAAAATTCGCCCTCCGGACAAGGGACTCTCTCCCAAAGGAGAGAAACTGGGCAGCTTTTAGTTACTTATTTAATTGGGGGGGAGGAAAGAGATTCTTTCAGGGGAAATTTCTCCAGAGGAAGAAACTGCAGTGATGGGTCGCAGGACCCCAAAGACTTTCCCTTGTTTTGTTTTTCAGTTTGGCCGGGAGGGTTTTTTATGTATATAAACGTGCAAATCAAGGGGAGGGAGGAGGAGGTTCAGATCAGTTAAGTCTTTGTGTTTTCTCGTCTCTTTCTCGCTCTCCGGTCTCCTCGCTTTATTGCTGTCTCCAACTGCCTGCTGCTAATATTGTAGCTCCTCTAAAAATAAAAGAGATGGATCCCCAGTTGGTAACAATGTCAGTAATTGGACTTCCAGCCCATGCTTTGCTTTCAATTAATCCAGCCACTGTGTCAAATTCGTATTCAGTGTTTATCTCCTCCCTCCGCCCCCCCCAAGCAATAAAAGCAAGCTAAGAACGTAGGCAAACATCACTTTTAGCATATTTTCCCTTTTGCTCCACTTTTCTCTCCCCGATATTTCAGTTTCAAATACAGTATCAAGAAAAGACGAGAAAACACACCCACCCACCCCCTCTTCAGAGCAATTACAAATGATAGTGAAACTTACAAACTTCCAGCATTGTGCACTCAGAGTAATCCACTGATTTTCCTTTGTGTTTTTGCATGTTCCAGCCCCCAAACAGTGGGTCTAGGTGTTTGTGGTGCAATTATCAGCGATGACTCTGTTGGATTCCCCCACTTGATGAGTGAAAAGTGCCTCCTACTATCCCTTTCTCTTTCGGGTCTGTTGTTAGCTGGTTTGCTGATACTGGCTCACTGCACGGGGGTTACGGATACACACAGGCTTTCATTGTGCTCGGGTAAGGCAGAGGCCCCCAAACAGTGGGTCTAGGTGTTTGTGGTGCAATTATCAGCGATGACTCTGTTGGATTCCCCCACTTGATGAGTGAAAAGTGCCTCCTACTATCCCTTTCTCTTTCGGGTCTGTTGTTAGCTGGTTTGCTGATACTGGCTCACTGCACGGGGGTTACGGATACACACAGGCTTTCATTGTGCTCGGGTAAGGCAGAGCGGCGGCGGCGGCGAAGGCGTCTTGGGGCGCCCTAGTGGAAGGCCAGTGCCACCGCAGGAAGGAATAATAGATACCGGGAAGGCAAAAGAGAAACACGAAGCCTCCAAGCGGCAAAGGAGGTGAATGAGAAAAGAGAAGCAAATTATGAACGATGGTCCAAGTGATTTATTTGCATGCATGGCAAATAAAGCCAAGGAAATCCCTTTTGCCATCCCCAGGCCTATTATATGCTACCTCTTCTCTGGCTCTGAATATCCCTTATTCAGAGGGAATGCATTTCCCTCTTTCGGTATAGTTATCTTTGTATGGCATAATCATTCTCTAACTAGATTAGGACACACAACTTCCTCTCCTGCCCCGGCATCAAGCCCTTTGTGGAGTTACTACCAGCTTCACAGATAAATCACAGCTATGAACTCTTAGCAGCTGGATCTCTCTGTGGTATAAGTGGGAAAAAAAGAGGAGTCATTCTTGTGCAATGCAGTGTGTATACATCTGAGCAGACCACGGGTGTCTGTCCACAGTGTAAGGACTCAGGAACTTTGGGTTCAATTCTCAGCTCTGTCAGTGACTGTCACAGATTTCCTGTCTGTGCTTGGGCAACTCATGTAACCCCAGGTCTTTACATGTCTAACTCCCAAGGTTAGTTGCTTAAATTGTCATTTTTGTATAGAACAGGAAACAAGGTTTGCTTTTAGTTGTTATGTTTCTTGAGCTACAGTATTCTCTTTTCCCCTTGGGATGTATTTAGGTTTCTTTCAGTATAATCTTTAAAAGGATAAAACTGTCATTAATGCTTAGCCTTAGTTGTCCGTGTGAAGCAGCTTACTCTGAAGGCACTGCACCTACAAAAATCTTTCCTTCCACTAGAGAAGGGCTAGACACTGCTGCCTTTAAACCCTATCAAGGCTGCTCTGACTTCACCAGCAGGATTAGAGTATCACATTGTGCACCCTGCTGTAGAGAGTGGATTAAACGCCTGTGTAACTGCTTTTACATAGTACCTTTGTTCAGTGCCCAAGTGATGAAGGCACTTCACTTCCACTGATTTCAGGGAAAGTTAGGTCCAAATCCGTAGACATTGAGGTGCTTTTGCCATAGCTGGGCTACACGTGCTGGACGATCTGTTCTCTGCTTCCAGTGGATCTCCACTGTAAATTGCCATTAGCCAAGGGAGGTTCAGGTGCATAGAAGGAAGCTACTATGCTATTGTTTGTAAAGTAACAGTTAAACTGCTGTCCCTCCACTCCAATGCCCCCCTCAAACCACACTGCTCCTCTGCTTATATATCCTCTGTAACAGGGTGACTGAGCCCCTATAAGAACGAAGGACTCAATTCTCCCGCTGCTGAACAGGTGCACTTGGTTAGGGGTGGACTCAGAGTCACAAAAGCGAAGCAATGCTCCATGGCAGCAGCAAACACAAACCCTTCCTCCCATCACCTTATGTCTGAGCACATACATAGTTGTGGATGTGAGGAAAACTTCAAGGGTGTGTCTACACTAGGCCACTTATTCCGGAAAAGCAGCCACTTTTCCGGAATAAGCTGCGAGCTGTCTACACTGGCCCCTTGAATTTCCGGAAAAGCAACGACGCTGTACTGTACAAAATCAGCTGCTATTCCGGAAACCCTACGCTGTTCCCGCTCGGGCATAAGTCCTTATTCTGGAAAAGCTTTTCCGGAAAAGGGCCAGTGTAGACAGCTTTTCCGGAAAAGCAGAAGAAACGGAAAAAAGCGGTTTGGACGCCGCGAGACCCCGTAGGAGCCCTGGACTTCCTGGTAACCCGAGCTCCTACAGAGCTCGGAGGCTGCTGGGCGCACGTGGCAGGAGCATGCCGCAGACCCTGCTGTCTGAGCTCTGCCACATGCCGCTGTGCTGCCCAGCAGCCACCTCTGAGCCCAGCATGGCAGCTCCGGGCAATCAGCAACCTGGACCCCCAGCGGCTGCAAACGCCGGGCACCATCCTGGACCCCCAGGGAGCTGGGTGCCCACCAGCCACCTCTGAGCCCAGCATGGCAGCTCCGGGCAATCAGCAACCTGGACCCCCAGCGGCTGCAAACGCCGGGCACCATCCTGGACCCCCAGGGAGCTGGGGACCATCCTGGACCTCTGGCAGGAGGAAGAGGGGCTCCAC